TTCTTGGTAACAGCACAAATGCAAGAATTTGACTCAAAAGGTAAAGGTAAAAATGCCCATACAACTTGTTGGAAATGATTAATTTCTATCACTGCTGTGAACTGACCACACAGAATATGAAGAATATAAAAAAATCAGGAGTCAGCTGTAGGCACAATTAGAGATAAGATATAACAACGCACAATAACACACTCTATAGCAAAATATTGTCTAATTATCGTTATCGATAAAATCCAAGAAAATATTGAGATATAATTTTTTGTCAGTATCGCACACTCCTACTTCCATCTACTCTTAACCCTCTAACACTGTTATTTTTCTATTCTGTCTACTTGTTTTCGTTTTATTTATTTAAAGAAAAGGTAACACTTTATAATAACTTTCGTTAATAAATCATTAACAAACATTATATAATGCTTAATGGATCATTAGTTAATATATATTCAAAGAGTTAACGTGAGATAATGTGCTTGTTAAACATTAGCTAATGTTCAAACAAATCATTATTTCATGTAAGTTAAAATGCGAAATGTGAGATAATCTGTTTGTTACTGTTTGCTAATACACTTCTTAAACATTAGATAATGTTCAAACAAATCATTAGTTCATGGAAGTTAAAATGCTTACAAATGTCATTAAACTTTCAATTCCATATGATCAAGCACAAAATATACAAATGATTTTAACAGATGTTATAAAATGATTAAAAGCTTGTGTTAATGCACAACACTTTTGCTGCTATTGAGGTGTGATATAGGTTAGGACAGGTTTGGTGGTATGGTTAGGTTTAAGGATTGGTTAAAGGGTCAACGGTGTACAGGGGTCAATTTGATTGCTATCTGTTTATATTATACTGTTTTGATAAATGAACAAGTATTTTCGGTCACATTTTATTTTAAGGTCAAATTCTCACTATTCAATAAACTCCTAATTTGCTGCTTATTAATAGTTGATTTACTATGATTTCTGAAATAAACTGTGGTTGCTAGAAGGCATTGTAAAAATATCAACGCTGTAGGAGTTTTTGATACTGCTTAGAACTGAATTTGATGATTGTGACATTTTACACTAAAGCTAAAAGTTGAACTAAAGTTGACATACTGATGTTTTCTTTTCACCTCTACTCTTGCTTTGTATTGATCTAGTCTATACTGCATTCTGTATGACAATTGGCTTGTAATGTTCCTCGTTTATAAGTCACTTTGGATAAAAGCCTGCTAAATGAATGTAGAAAAAAATGTAGTGTAAATTAATATTTCAACAATAGGAATGCTGAGATGTATAAATCTTAGTGCCTGACGATCATGCATCTAACGATCTCCCCAAACACACACACACACACACACACACACACACACACACACACACACACACTCACTCACTCACACTCACACTACACACACACACACATATGTATATACAGTCAGTTGGGCAGTAATGGAAAGGAACCTGTGCTGACGAGAGCAGCACCTGTTCACAGCAAGCAGTCAGGATGCACAAGACACGGCAACTGAGCATATAACCACTCTAACATTCGCCTCTGAAACAGAACAAGAGCAGATCCTTCAGCAACACACTCTGAGTTAGTATGATTTATCAAAAGAGAAAGATGGAATCCTGTTTTTATAATAAAGCTTTAATGGATACTGATCTATCATCTAGATGGTATCTTTGAATAATTTCACATTTTGTGCTATGACAAATAAATTAGCAAATGTTTCTATTTATTTCCTAGAATAACACATTGGCTGATGTATCATCATAATGCATGCTAAACATACTGTATAAATAAATATGTTACAATATAAAAGTAAATGCACATTTTTGTTGAAGGGCATCTTCCCCAATCTATTTTTTTTTATTTGCAATTAATACATATTTAATAAATTCCGTTTGCCGTCTTCCCAATTGAAATTCCATAAAATCCTTGTGGAATGTAAACAATCCAATTCAAATTCAACATATGCACTGAAAAGGCTTAAATTCTGAATTTTGCCCAACCCTGATTTACAAGTGTTTTTCAATCTAAAACCCAAGTGTGATGCTTTTCTCTGAGCATAAGGGGGCAGCAAGCCACTATCAGACAGTTCACAGCTGAGACCATGATATTTTTTTTTTCCCACTGACTCTCAAGTTTCATTGTTCTAAGAAACAATTGAAATTAAAGTGGCCCGAGAACATTTGCTGAGTTTGGTCATTTTGTTTTGTACTTAAGTACCACAATACATTATTCTGATATATTTAGTGTGTTACACTGTGTACCTACAGGTTGTCATGTTGTTGATTTCA